TTGATGTGATGTTTAATATATTATATATTTATGAATTATACCCTAGAAAAATAACTTATTTTTCAAGCTTAGCGAAACGTGCACATAAATAAACCAAGAAGGCCATGGGCCATAGGTCCATGACCCGAGAAGCCCACACACGAAAGAATTCTCACAACAGGAAGATCTTTCTAGAAGCGGCTGCGATTGAGTGTAATGTATGCATCCTCTCCACAAAACCACACGTATCAAACAAATACAGAGAGGAGAGTTTTTTTAACCCTTTTTGTTCTTTTTCGAATCGGAAGATAATTCTAGAAAATCCTCTGTTACGCGGCGGCTTACTCGATCTATTCTAAGGTACTGTGTTTTTTGAATCTCAATTTCTATTTTTCTGTGTAAAATTATCAGATCTAATAAGATATTAATCCTTTTCTAAGCTGGTTAGCTACTTTTAATCCGCTATTGATTTCAAATTAACACACACATGCAAATTCTAGATTTGTTTTTTTGTTTTGTTTTGTTTTCCCCCCCTCTTTTTATGGATCTAATTCCGCGGGTTTGGTTGTGAGGAAATAACAAGGATATTGCCTCCCACGAGGTTTTTTTAGTTGATTTGATGCTACTTTTGAAATTTCTTGATTTTAACACGTTATGCATTATTGTCAGGAGAACACAATGAATTTGGTGTATACAAGGGAATGATTGATTTTTGTTTAATATGACCTAACTTCACTGTTCTTTTCATGTCAATCCATACATGTAATAAGAAGTGTGTGGCAGTTTCCAGATTTACTTGCATAGGTGGTGTTTTTAAGTGCCGCAATTTTCAATCTCGCAATGCACGAAGTCAATGTGAATCACAACGTATTAAGTGCATTGAGGTTGAATCTGAATATGAGATGGAAACTGTACACTAGTTGTAGTATCGCTACATGCAAAGCTCTCTGAGTTGTCTTGCTTTTATTATTGTGAAGCTGTCATCACTGATGTCATGTACACACCTATTAGATGATGTCGTGTAGCTAAAGCGAAATTACTCAGTTGTTTTATGGCTGCGTTTGTGCTAAAGAGGAAAGAAAACTGGACTAGTTTGATGAAACATTAAATGTGATAATTTTTGTTCTTCAGGTCGTTGGGTATTTTGTTGAATTTGAGACGCTCTTTCTGCAACTTTGCTCGGTCTAGCAATCATGAGTGTGGTGGGTTTTGACTTTGGGAATGAGAGCTGTGTGGTTGCTGTTGCAAGGCAAAGAGGTATTGATGTTGTTCTTAATGATGAGTCCAAGCGTGAGACTCCTGCTGTCGTATGCTTTGGTGACAAGCAGAGATTCCTTGGAACGGCAGGAGCTGCTTCGAGCATGATGAATCCCAAAAATACAATATCCCAAATAAAGAGGTTGATTGGACGCCAGTTTTCGGATCCCGAGTTGCAGCAGGATCTGAAGTCATTACCTTTTTCTGTGACCGAAGGGCCTGATGGATATCCTTTGATCCATGCACGATATTTGGGAGAAATGAGGACGTTTACACCTATCCAGGTCCTGGGAATGGTTCTCTCTGATTTGAAGAGCATTGCTGAAAAGAATTTGAATGCAGCAGTTGTAGATTGCTGCATCGGGATACCTGTTTATTTCACTGACCTTCAGAGGAGAGCAGTTATAGATGCTGCAACAATAGCTGGTTTGCACCCTCTCCGGCTTTTTCATGAGACTACTGCTACCGCTTTAGCTTATGGTATTTACAAGACTGACTTACCCGAGAATGACCCATTACATGTTGCTTTTGTTGATGTTGGGCACGGTAGTATGCAAGTTTGCATTGCTGCTCTCAAGAAAGGTCAGCTGAAGATATTGGCCCATTCTTTTGACAGGTCCCTCGGCGGAAGGGATTTTGATGAAGTTCTTTTCCAGCACTTTGCTGCAAAGTTCAAGGAGGAGTACAAGATTGATGTC